GGTAAAGGGGTATGTGGGGGGTTAAGGGTTTAGGGGGAAGCTGAAGAGGGACTTGAGGAGCAGTGGTGGGGGGTTTTTGGAGGGATGCTGGGGGGGTCTTTGGAGGGATGCTGGGGGGGATAAGGAAGGATGCTGCAGGGTGAGGGGTTTAGGGGGGTGCTGCAGGGCGGGGGCACAAACAGGGACCCATCAGCACGGGGTGCTGAGGGTCACCCTCATCCTCCTCAGGGCAGGACCCCCCCATGGCAGGTCGCTCCCTTTTCAGGGGCTGCAAAGCAGAAACCTTATTTTTCCTGGTGACCCGGTGGGAAGCCGTTTTTGGGGGTGCCTCCGCCGCCTCTTCATTTTGGGGATGGCTTCATTCATCACCCCGTGCCTTGGGCCAGAGCTGGCTCAGCCAGGCCAGGAGGGTTTGCTGTAATTTTGGGTGCTTTTTGGCTCAGGAGGGATGGACACAGGACAGGGAGGGAAGACCAGCAGCTGGTTCAACCCCGGCCATGGGGTTTGCAGTCTGTGCAGGGCTCTGCCAGCAGCAAACAAACTCCTGCAGCGCCGAAGCATCCAGATATTTCATCAAGAGCCTCATAAAAACCAACCTAGGAGGGAATTAATAGCTTTTCATTCATCCCATGGTTCGGATGGTAAACAGCTCCTGGGCTGCTGACCGAGGAGGCAGCAAGGACACGGGGTGGGTTCCTGCCGTCACCCAGTGAGGGTTGAGGTGCCAGCGGTCCCAGTTTCATCCCAGAGGGATAACGGGATGGGTATGGCCGGGAATTGGGAGCACAGGGATGGCTTTGATGTGCTTTATCTACCTTGGGTCCCTCGTTTTACATCCTGATGCCACGCAGCAGCCTCTCTGGCCCTTTCCATCCCTGGGGTGGTTTTGCGAGGAGGCACCAAAAGCCCGAGCGGGGTGGGGGGTTGTGACCCACATGTGTTTGCCCCCCAGGACATGGGGTTTAAAAACTTTCTCGGGGTGAAAGCAGCCCCCCCAGCCCTGAGCAAGGTGCCCAGTCTCTGCTCTGCACAGCTCTGACGCAGTCCGGCCGCCGATCGCTCCCAGCGGGAGGGAAAGGCTGGATCAGGGAGTGTGAAATAGCTTTTTCCGGGGTTTTGAAGCTCTCAGGAAAGGGGTTCATCCCTTCCTTTGGTTCCCGGCGTGGACAGAGACCCCCACACTCACCCTTTTCCAAAGGGTTATCCGCAAAGGGCTAATCATCCTGGCAGTTTCCAGCGAACACGTCCGCTCGGCTCAGCTTGAGCATTTATTTATTTTTTTTCAGCTGGAATGTTAAAAATAAACCCAGCGGATACATAAAACAAATGGAAAAATCTTTAAAGGGCTTTGCTGTTCATCTTGCGTTCGGTTGATGCTCCTCTGCCTGCCGAGCTGGGCTACAGCCATGGGTATAATGTCCAAAATTGGGGAAACTGAGGCAGGGAGGAGATGTTGGAGGGGAAGCATCACCCCATTGTGGTGTGTGGAGCCTGAGGACCGTGCACGCAGCAGGGGAAGGGAAGGGATGGCTCCTGCAGGTCCTGACACCCATCACTGGTGCTGGTTGGTCCCCAGTAAGGAGCTGGGACTTCTCTGCACCCTGAGTTTTATTGGTGCCGCTTCATCCTGGTTTGGGTCCTGCTCTGCCATGGGTGATGCTCCTCTTGGGAAGTTCTCCATAGCATCACTTCAGCTTGTATTTTCTCCTCCACACCCTGGATAACCAGGGGGTGCTGCCTCTCCCACCCCCTCCAACCAACCCCTGCTCGGGGGAGAGGAATTAAATCAAATCGAGGAGGCGAGAGCGATGCCGGGGCTGTCGAGGAGGAAAATTCATGGTGCTCATCTGCCCACAGAGCTGGGGTCCATCCCGGGGGGAGGATTTACAGCCTCTGTTGCCAACAGCGGCGTTTTGATTTACTCAGAGGCTGCAAAATCGACAAAGCATATTTCACCCTGGGAAGACCCTCTTCCCCTCTGGAATTTATTGGTTTTAATTAAAATGGCCATAAAAAAATAACACGCAGGAGCCGTGAATCTGCTCCGGCAGGACTCCAGTCACAATCCTGGGGAATCTCTGGAGGGTAACGGAGGAGGAAAAGGTGGGAGATGATGTTCCTTAAAAGTTTTTTGGGAACTCAGGAGGATGCTGAGCCTCCGTTTGTGCCACTCACCTTGTCTGGCCGTGTCCCTGGCACACAGAGCCTGGCACAGGGGCTCTGGCAACGAGCCTTGTGCTGGTGGCCACGGGGAGCCAGATCAACAGGGCAGCTCTGCCAGATACATAACCACAATAATATAACTATACCTATCAACATATATACATAAATTACATTTCTTTTTATAATTTATACAGAAGTTTGGCAGCCAGCTTGAGTCCTGCCTGTGTCGATTCAGGGCTGTGACGCATAGAGGGGAAGCTACGTTTTTTATTCCCCCGCTCCCTGGTGCTTAACTTCCCTTTTTACTGGATTTTTGGCCCCGAATTGGAAGAAGAGAGGCTGGGGCAGCCACGTGCAATGGCTTTCAGTGGGGCTGAGGGTTGTTTTTTGGCAAGAGGAGCAGCCCCAAGTGTTGGATGCCTGGGGTTTCCCTGGCTGGGGTTGCAGCTCCTGTGCCACTTTCTTGCCTCCTGAAGCTACACAAATGGGTTTTTTTGTTCAGCTTTTAAAGCAAATACCACTCAGACCTGGAGCTTAACATCTCTGATCGATCTTGCGGGGACAGGGAGTGACTGAAATGCCACCGTGGCCGCTGCATCCTGGTCCCATCGTTGTCTGTGACCCTTCCCAGAGCTCTGGCACGACCCGGTGCTGGATGGTACCTGCGGGCAAGGACACATCACGTGTGTGGGTACCTTTTTTCTCCACCTCCTCCCCTGCTTTTCCTCTTACCCTCCACAAAAGCATTTTGTGGGGCTGTTTGTCGATGGGGAGCCGCATCCCCGGGTGCTAAAGAGGAGCCGAAATCACCCTGAATAAATGAATAAAGCCCTGGAATAGACCCACAGCACCAGAAATCGAAATCAAACGCTGCTTGGAAAGTTTCCTGGAGGTCTCATCTCATCTGCACCCTGCCAGGAGAGGGACTTTAATTGCACGGCTTTGCTCCGGGTGGCAAAGGCAAGGAAGGAGGGGATGGGGGACGGGGAACAGCTCCTGTTGAGCCCACCAGCTCCTTTGTCTTCTGCTCGGCCAAGCCACCTGCCCTCGGGACCCCAAACCCGTCACTGGGGTCTGCAGGGGAAGCCTAAAAATAGCAGGATGCGTAAAGAGGAGCTGGGAAGGGGGGGGGAAGAATCAGGGGAGGAGGCAGCTGGGCTAAGCGAGGCAGACAGCAACCTGGGCAGAGCAGAGAGAAGCTAAAATAGCTCCTTCTGCTGCAGGAGGAGCCTCCCTAGGATGGCTGGAGGCTGAGCCACTGGGGTTTTCCGGGTCAAAGATGGGAAGTTGGAGACAGGATCCAGGCTCCCACAAGGCTGGAAATCCAGGCAGGTGCTGCAGCACTCGGAAAAAAAAATCCCTTGGGAAAGGATCAGGGCTGTGTTTGCACCCTGTGGGTGCTGCCGGGGGGGTAGTGGGGTGCTCTGACCTGAGACCCACCCCCAGGGATGGACCCTGACCCACCACCTCCCCGAGCCAGGGAGCAAATGGGGTCCTGCGGGGAAGCTGCTTTGAAAGCAGGGAGCAAGGAGCAGTGAGGAAGTGCCCAAATGAATCCTCTGTGATTAACGAAGCTGCCAGGTGGGGAATGAGTGTGGCTGGGCCAGAGCCACACGGTCCCCACGTGCCAGGTGGGGAATGAGTGTGGCTGGGCCACATGGTCCCCACAGAGGAAGTGCCCAAATGAATCCTCTGTGATTAACGAAGCTGCCAGGTGGGGAATGAGTGTGGCTGGGCCACATGGTCCCCACAGACCCCAGTTCTCCTTTGAGCATCCTGGGGAGGGGATGGGTGCTGGGACCAGCCCCAGTGGGAGTCAGGGACCAGGTTTTGCGGTGGTGAGAGTGGTCCCATATGGGTGACCCAAACAGGAGTCCATCCCTCCATCTACCCCCTAACATAACTGATACACCAGATGGGATTTACCAACCCCACCACCTGCTCCCCCTTCTTCAGGGCCTGATTCAGCCCCTTCAAGGCGGGGTGGATGGATGCACTTAGA